ATGTAGAGGTGGGGTTGAATGCAGGAAGACTAACTTCCGCAAACCACGAGTCTCTTTATAGGGAGCATCCTGCAAGCATGTCAACCGCATCTCATGATGTTTGCTAGGATGAAAATCTACTTTATTAAGGCCATCTATACCACATCTTCCAATCCAATCAAATCATATCAGCAATTTTTTGTTTCCATCATCTTACGCCACACCACACACACCACCATACCTAGCTTGTTATCTGCACTCTATTTTGCCTCGCCATGCACTGATGCCTTCGTGAGGTGGGTGGGGGGATGCGCCTTAAGTCTGTTAGAGCAGGGCATGCACCACATTACACCACACCACACCACATCAATTCACATCACACCACACCACACCTACTAGGCACATCAGCACGGTATACAGCCATAGTACTCTTGTTTTGCTGTTTGCCATGCCATGCGTCGATTACTGAGGCACCTAAAAAATTGACTCAATACATCCAAACCACGCCTGGCCATGCGTGCAGGATGTTGACTGCAACTCTACCCTCACCATAGGCAAGGTGCTCAAGGTGTCTGCGCCCAACAATCTGCCTCCCTGCTTTGCTTACTACTATACTTATTCGGTGAGCACGATTGATTTCCGGCAGCCACCTTCAGACATTCCAACTTCAATCTCTTCTCTCACTCTCGGCCATGCACTACCTCTCCCCGTCCCTCCCTCAGACATCGTCTCCTCGGTACTATTCAAACCACTCTGTGTCTTCCTTACTACAGCCCTGCTCCTCTCTTCCTACCTGTCCCCACCCCCTCACACCACCTCCTCTTCCTGCAAACCCCATGCCATTCAACCCCACCAGAGCGACACATGTGCCTCAGTGGCGGCCTTTCTCGCCCTCTCCTCCTCCACACTCAAGCAGCTCAACCCGGAACTCGACTGTGGCTTGCCTCTCCCTGCCTCGCACTCCCTCTGCAATGAGCGCAATGCGCGTGCCGCGGCCAGCATCCCGAGCTGTCTGGTGACCACCTTCATTACCAGCCAGGCCAGCTGCAGCCAGACAGTGGACACGTCCAAGGAGGCAATTTCCACGGTGGAGCTCTACCGCATGAATCCTGGGCTCGTGTGCAGCAATGCCGTGCCCACGCCTGCAGGGATGCCTGGCGACAAGCTGGGAGTGACGGTGAGTAGGCTGGGATGGAGTGTGGGTGCCATGGTTGAAGGTCCAAATCGCGAGGGGCTATCTCAATGGTGAAGCTCTACTACATGAATCCAGGGCGTGTGGGTAGTAATGATGTGCCCACACCTGCTGGGGTGTCTGGAGACAAGCTGGGAGTCACGGTGAACTTGGGATGGGCTGCGGGATGTGATGATTGAGCTTTGTTGTGCCAATACAAGTCAGGTATTATGGTGCATATGCTACATGTACGGGAAATGCATTCATGCTTGTTCTTACTAGTTGCTCTTCCCTCTTTTCACCGCAGGCGTGTATAAGAGCCGAGTATTTGGACTTCTCTTTGGGCTCGTGCAAGCGTGGCAAGCCAAAGTCCTTTCCCGGCAGCACGACATGCACAACTGTGTACATTAAGGAGTTTGGCGGTGCAGCAAATAGTGCCAAGTATGAGCAGTACAATCAGCCATGCGCAGGCACTCTTTCAAACAAGCTCAGTTCGCAGGTGAAAATTTGTGTCCCAAGATAGTAGCGTGGTATATAAAGCAACATGGAACAAGACTTTCGATATCGCCGAGATTCTGTCTTGGTATGTAAAAAAAAATGGTATCCAGTTATGGTATCTTGCTATTATGGGTGCCATGGAACGAGATAGAGAGGATTGCACTAGGTGTCAAATGAGTACAAAGTATGAGCGAAGGCATGAGCGATTACTTTTACGCGAAACATGCAAACGCTGATGTGGTGCTTGCGAGCTAGCTAGTGCTAGGCTGGCATCGAGGTTCTGGCTAGGTCCGGCGCGTAGGCCGACTCTGCCAGGCCAGCAGTACATGGTTAGGTAATACAGTGCGCGCGAAGCAGGCCCTGAGAAGTCAGCGAAAAAAGGCTGATTAGGGGTAAAAAGGCTGTGATTTCAGTTGTGGGAGAATAGTGGGGTTGTTGTGGCAGTTTTTTTTGAAAGTGTGTTTGCTGAAAGTTCAGGGTTCTTAAAACTGTTTGTGCTAAAATATGAGCTCTTTTCCTGTCGTGTACGCTGTCTCATCAGAGTAGTAACGAAGGGGTTGGCTGAAATCCCTGTAATGGAGATTCGCGTAGGTGCCCTGAATTCCGGATGTCTAGGTACAACGGTTCGACCATCCCTCCGCCAATCATGCCGAAATGGCAAGATTCCTTGCCAACGCACGAGAATGGCGTCATTCACGAACTTTCACTCCACTGTTGTCTTCTCGCGAAGGTATCTTGGCTCAAGGATAGAGATTCTTCTTTCCTGTATTTCTCTCCTTTTCCCTCTCCGAGCGTCATTCCTCGTTGCGCAGCCTCACCTTCCCCTCGCTGCGCCACGCTTCCCTTTCCCCCCGTCGTCATGACGCCGTGCGGGCCCCGTTCACCAGCAAAGCTGGCGTCGCAGCTGGTCATTGCTGTACGATGCGGCCCGTGAGCCCGTGAGCCCGTGAGCTGCACTTATCGTTCGTGCATATTCCTTGACGGGAATACCCACTCATTTTCAGCCCGTGAGCTCAGCTCAGCAGCAATGCCATCTTGGTAGGTACGAATCTACAGACATTTGTTTCCCGTTACTCCTCATCACCCCCCGCATTCGGTTCCCTCGTTTCCGTTTGATCACGCTGCGGGGGAGAAAGTGAGCTGCGAGGGAGATAGTTAGATGCGTGGGAGAGGGAGTTGCAAGGGATAGAGGGAACCGCGATTCCGCTTTCACTCCCTCGTGCTCCCCATATTCCTCTCCTTATTTTCTCCTCCCGCGTCCCTCTGCAGCTCTCCTCTGCCGCCCGTCAGTGTGGCAGCAACACACCAGCTTGCCTAATAAGTACGATTTAGGATAGGGTTGTTTCTTTTCCGTTCCCTTTCCTTTCCCCTCACCGAGCAAAGTTTCGCATATTCTAGTTTCCATCCCGTCAGCTCAGCAGCAGCCGCACATCTTATTAAGCACAATCTAAGATACAGGTATTCATTTGCCATTCCCTTTCCTTTCCCCTCGCAGCCAAACTTCCGCGTCATTCCCTGCAGCCTCCAGACGTCCCGCATTCCCCTCGTTGCGCAACCTCGCCTTCCCCTCGCCTCGCCGATCATCTTTTTCCCCCCGTCGCCATGGTGCCTTGCGGGCCGCGGTCTGCCCGTGAAGCTAGCATGGCGGCGGTCGTCGCTGGCCGCGGCGCTCTCTTTAGGCTCTAATGATAGTGAAGAGGATGACGATGATGAAGAGGATAAGGATATCCTGTAAATGTTCGTCTATATCAATGCAAAACTTGTTTGAAATGGTTCAGTCTTCACCAAATAGTGATGCTGATCGTTCAAAAAAAATTGTCATATACACCCTGAAAAATCCGTTTTTTTTTTACAACAACACTGACTAATCATAAACGAACACACTCCTAAGGTTGACTGGTCAGCCTAATACAAAACGAATCTGAGGCCCTGGCGCGAAGTTGGCGAAGCCTCGTCAGCGGTAACGAGCGAACAACGGCTGATGCTGTACGCGATGTTAAAAAGCGCAATAAGGAATGCTGAAAAAATCCTTACACTACACCACCCTCCCCTCAAGAAGCCCCCTCCGCTACGCGAGTGCATGTATAACGCGAAAACCCCGACTCCTCAGGTACGCTTGCAGGGCAGGGTGGTTTTCGATGTTGGCCAGGGGCACCCTGTAGACTTCCACTTCTATAGCAGCTTCATAGAGCTTGAAAGCACGATTCCAACGCACCAAAGATTGCAGGAAACGGTCAACTATAGCCATTGTTACACAGAAACATAGAAGTGATAATGACTTGGTTGATTTCCAGTTTGTGCTCTCTAGTTTTATACTAGGACGCAATACAAAATAAAAGCACACAAGAAAGTGTCGATTTGGGTCGCACGTTGAATTTCGTCGACGCGAAATTCGGAGCCTTGAATTTTGCAGAGCGAATTCCATTCACTGGAATTCCGTAGACGAGAATTTCCGCGACAAGAATTCCGTCGACCACCGACTGTAACTCCCGTGCGAATTCTATTGACTTCGACACTTCGCTGCCGAGTTTCAAACCGAACATGACCCGAGATCGATTTCGCCAAACTGTCCCCAATCTGTCCCCAACTGTCCCCGATCTGTCCTGACAAGACACTTTCGGGACACTTGAATCGAAAGGTCTCCAGTTCGAAACTCGTGTGCACCATAACCAGCACCTTAGCAAAAACTGTCCTCAATCTGTCCTGAGACACTTTCAGGACAGATTTGAAGGTCACGAGTTCGAATCCCAACGCAGACATTTTGTTGCTCATGGCAGCATTTCCTTCTAACACGCCCCCTTGCTGTCAGGAGCACACTGGACCAGCCCGGCTGATGCACAGCATCGGTTGAAGGTTGCCTTGTTGAGCCCCTTCGTGAAGAAGTCCGCGGGCTGCGCTGTCGTGGGGATGTGCAAGAACCTCCAACTTCTTCATGCGCACCATGTCCTGTAGCCACATGTGGCGATGGTCCACATGCTTCATGCGCCCCTGCAGCCCGCCTGCCTGGCTGAGCTGCACCGCTGACATGTTGTCGACGTACAGGGTGGTGGGGACACCCTTCTTGAGCAGTTGAAACTCCCACAGCAGGAACCTTAGCTTGCGCCCCTCCTTTCCCGCTTCCACCGCAGCCACAAGCTCGCTCTCGGTGGAGGAAAGTTTGGTCGCACCCTGCAGCTTCTTTGCCTGCCATGCCGCCAAGCTTGAAGAGGTAGCCTCCCGTGGACGACCGGTTCTCCTTGTCGCCTGCATCATCCGCATCTGCATACCCTACGAGAGTCAAACTCTCTGGTCCTCCCTTGAACAGCAGCCCCTTGTCCGGTGAGGCAGCCCAGTAGGAGAGTGTGCAGAAGAGCTAATGCCAATGCGCATTCGTCCTGAGGTGTGCACCTGCTGCAAGGCGGTCGGTCATGGTGCGATCGGCAAACAACTCAGCATCCTCCATGACAAAGCTGGTAGATGAGAGAGGGGTGATCGGCTGCTTCTTCAGTGGCGCCCCCTTGAAGAACCGCTGCTGCACCTTCGCCACATATGCATTCTCGTGCAGGAGGAGTGTCTTGTTGGGGCGGTCGCGCACAATCTGCAGACCAAGATAGCCTTCCGTGAATGACATATATTCCACCACGACGAGACCTTTGTCCACCACCTTGCCTTCAGGTCCGGTCAAGGTTGCTCCAAGGTTGATGATGACGCTCCTCAACCCCCCTTCCTCCTCATCACCCTCATCCAAGTACTCCACATCATAGTAGATGTTCGTGCCATAAGCACCTCGAGCAAGGAATGCAATGCCGTACATGTTGTTGCCATCAACCGCATCCAGGGCCGTCATGGTGGATGCGGGAAGCCGAACAGGTGGCATACCCTTGTTGGACCTGCTAGAATGACATGGGGGTGGGGGAGTGGGTTGGAGGGGCGGAACCGTGGGTATGGGGTCCTTCCCATGGGTTGTCGCCAATTTCAGGTCCGCTGCCTCTCCTTCCTTGTCTTCATCAGCTGCACCAACCTTTGGTCCCACAGGTGCCAAGCCAGCAACTAAGGATGGACAGAGAGCTAGTGGAGCTATGGTTGCGTTGCTGCCCGCAGGGTCAACCGAACGATCAGATGGTTGTTTGCCCCCTTGCACGGACGGCACTGGGATTATGATGATGGTACATGACGGCGGCTGATTGTGCTCAGGGCCATGGACCATCCCAAGAACCTCCCCCTCTCGCTCGTCAGGCAGTAGAAGCATTTGACGAGTGAGTTTGGCTTCTTGGGAGGAGGCGCTCGACGTCTCCTCCCCTCCTTTCTCTAGGTCCATGCCTAGCATGCCACTGTTTGTGGCTGTCCACTGCACCGCACCAGCATGGTCATTCTCAAAGTGAGTGCGCCACAGGTTGAGCATCGCCTCAGTCCCCACCGCATATGTTGTGAGGCTGGCCGCTTCGTCATTCGCTTCCGGCGTGCTTGATACCACCTCAGTAAATGCCTTAGGCATACCGTTGCATGCCACCTCAGCCGCCGTGCCATTGCATGCCGCTATAGCTGCCGTATTGCTGCATATTGCTGCAGCCACCATGCCGTTGCATGCCGCCGCAGCCGCCCTGCCGTTGCATGCAGATGCAGCCCCTGTGCTGTTTCTCGCCGCTCCACCCGCCATATCGGTGCATGCCGCTGCAGTCGCCGTACCGTTGCATGCCGCTGCAGCCGTTGCACCGTTCCTTGCTGGCCCCGGTTTCAGGTCAAGGCAGTAAAGGCGATGGCGATATCGTGCCTTTGCAGCCACTTGACCTCCTGATGCGATGATGCGGGTGACACCTTCCTCGGTTCGCAGCTTTGCTCCCTTGCCCAAGAGCTGCCCAAGGGAGACCAAGTTGGCCTTCGTTCCTGGCACAAAGAGGACATCATGTAGGGTCACACGCAAGCTGTTAGTGCTCTCAAGCAAAACCTCACCAACACCGGCAACTTCCTACATAGAACCATCAAACCCTTTGACTGATTTCGTTGCAGATGGGTCACGGATCACCGTGAACGACTCCTTGCGGCCGGTCATGTATTGGGAGCATTCTGATTCAAGGAACCACAAGTCCTTGTTGTCGGCCAGCAACTTTGCAGCCGAACACGCAATGGTGAGCGCCACGCCCTTCCTGTCTTCTTCAGCTACGTTCGTGGCAGCCGCGGGCGTTGTATCTTACTTCTTGTTGGGGCATTTGGCAGCCATGTGGCCCTCCTCATTGCAGTTGTACCAGCGCCCCTTGAAAGGGGCTCGCTTCTTCTCTCGCTTGCCATCCTTCTTCTTGTCCGTCTGCTCCCTTCCCCCTTTTCCTTCCTTCCCGTTGACCCCCGTTGTAGCCACGATGGTGTTGACAGCGCCCGAGAAAGCATATGCATCGCTGGTGATCTGCTTGTAACTCTGTTCGATGGAGAGAGTCTGCTCCTCCATCAACACCTCGCTGCACACGCATTCCACCGTCATGTCAGGGCTGGAAATTTCCAGCTTGTTGCGGCGAAGAAATCCGTACTCCGGTGGTAGGCCCTTCAGCACGTGGGCGGCAAACGTGGCCATGTGGACCTCCTGTCCAATGGTTAGCAGCTCCGCTCGGATGGTGCAGGCCCTATTGCAGTAGGATTCCGCCGTCTCATCATCTCCCTTCCTGAGTTGGGCTAACTGGGTCTGAAGTAGGGAAGCGTGGAGGGCATCACGAACTTGATAAGTACACAAGATATATGCCCATGCTAGCTGCCCGGCTTTCTCTTGTTGAGAGAAACCAGAGATGGACACTCGGATGGGTGGAGAAACATATCGGTTCAGCACCATGAATGCAAGCATTTGGCCCTTTGCGTACTCCCTTCGTTGCAATGGGTTGTTCGGGGCTGGGCTTGGTGCTGTCCCGTTGAAAAATTGCCACAAATCAGCACACTGGAGCTGAGGTCCGATGGCGCTGACCCACGCAGTAAGGTCGTGCCTTCCCTCCAGTAGCGGCGTCACGGAGATGTGTTCAACTCGAAACTTGAATTGACCGTAGCTCGCCCCGATCATTCCCGTGTCAATGGTCGGTGCAAGAGCTCCTCCACCAACGCCCACAGCACTTGGAGCCTCGTGCACAGCTCCTCCTTCACCGGTTCCTCCTTGCTGGCCACTCGCAGGTGCTTGCTCCGCCGCGCGCTCCCGAACCAAGCATAGTAGACAACCGTCCACAATGAGGTCGACCTCCTCATCTCGCAAGTTAGGGTGGTGCTCACGAACGGATGCCTCCAGCTCCTGACGGGCATTCAGGCCCTTGGCGCTTGTTAACCACTCCATCCGCGGTCAAAACGAGCGGCGGCCACACCAAAGTAGGAACGAAGTGATGGGAGGACAGAATCAAGCTGCTTGTTGGATCCATGCAGATAAAGCAGCTCTGATACCATGTAGAACTCCACTTCTATAGCAGCTTGATAGAGCTTGAAAGCACAATTCCAACGCACCAAAGATTGCAGGAAATGGTCCACTATAGCCAGAGTTACACACAAACATAGCAGTGATAATGACTTGGTTGATTTCCAGATTGTGCTCTCTGGTTTTATACTAGGACACAATACAAAAGAAAAGCACACAAGAAAGTGTTGACCCGGGTCGCACGTTGAATTTCGTCGACGCAAAATTCGGAGCCTTGAATTTCGTCAAGCGAATTCCATTCACTGGAATTCCGTAGACGAGAATTTCCGCGACAAGAATTCCGTCGACCACCGACTGTAACTCCCGTGCGAATTCTATTGACTTCGACACTTCGCTGCCGAGTTTCAAACAGACCGCGACCCGAGATCGATTTCGCCAAACTGTCCCCAATCTGTCCCCAAGCTGTCAACAATCCGCTCTGACAAGACACTTTCGGGACACTTGAATCGAAAGGTCTCCAGTTCGAAACTCGTGTGCACCATAACCTGCGCCTTAGCAGAAACTGTCCTGAATCTATCATGAAACACTTTCAGGACAGATTTGAAGGTCACGAGTTCGAATCCCAGCGCAGACATTTTGTTGCTTATGGCAGCATTTCCTTCTAACACACCCAGCTATCTTCAGTTGGCGTACGGTCCTTCCAGCAAACGAGGAACTCGATCCTCTTGATGCGTGTAGGGTGACGAATCTGATGGATCAGAATCTTCTCGGGCTCGAAGATCGGCTCTGATGTAGGGCGAGTAATTGACGGTGGGCGATGTCATGGCAGTTGGCTTGTGGTCAGAATGTACGGGCGAAGCAGGCTGACGTGGAACGATAAGCTGATGTACCAGTCTGTTGGCAACACCAAATGGGTGGTAACTGGGGTGATCATGTGGCTGATTTGTAACGGACCACCGTATTGCGGTCGAAGTTTCGGTACGACGGGCAGTCTTAAATTTTGTATGTCGAGCAGTACGTAATCTCTTGACCGGTACGTGACGGGGGGGCGGCGGTGGTCAGCGTTTCTCTTAACGATGACATTTGCTTTTTTTTTAATTCCTTCAGCTGCTCACGTTTTGGCAGCTTGCAGTATCTCGACGAACTGTTGAGCGCGTGGCATGGGGTTGCCCGGACTCGGCGTCATGGGCACTGTTGGATTTTCCCGTAGTTCATGTAAAACGGGGACAGCTGCGTCGTCGCTGGCGTAGCGTTGTTGTAGGCGAACTTGATCAGCAGCAGCTGCTGCTCCTATCTTGTCGGGTCGTCACACGTGGCATGAAGGTACTGTAGTGCACGATGGTCTATCCGTACTGTCATGTCGGCTGGGCGCGAAGGTACTGTAATGCACGATGGTCTATCCGTACTGTCACGTCGGCTCCTGTCAGGTAGCACCGCCATACTTTGAACGCGAGCACGATTGCCAGCATCTCGCGGTCGTGTGTTGGGTAGTTGCATTCGGGCGGGTGAAGTTTGCGAGACTCGTAGACGATTGGCTGAAGGTCATTTTTGAAGTCTTGCAATAGTAGTGCTCCTACAGCAATGCCGCTAGCATCGGTGTTGAGCTCGAACAGACAGTGGGAATCTGCGATGTGAAGCACGGGCGGTGAGCACAAAATGTTTTTGAGGGCTGAGAAGGCAGCTTGTTCTTTCTCCCCCCACGTGTACTCAACCCCCTTCCTCAGCAGGTCGGTCAACGGGGCAGTCAACTACTCCATGTCGGGGACGAACCGTCGCACGTAGTTGACGAACCCCAGAAAACTCAGCAACTCGGTCAAGTTGGTCGACGTGTGCCATACTTGAATCGTCGAGATCGTTTCGGGTCTATTTCCACTCCGTTGGCTGAAAAAACATGCCCAAAAAACTGCAGTATGTCCTATAGAAACTCACGCTTAGAGGTTTTGGTTAGTATGCGGTTCTCACTCAGCATTATCAAAACTGCATCGATGTCATGTAGGTGCTGTTCTCCGTCTGGGCTGTAGATCAGTATGTCGTCTAAGTAAACGATCACACACTTATCTAAAATTGGGCAAAAGGCTTCGTTCATGGTCATTTGGAAGGTCCCACGGGCGTTGGTCAGTCTGGAAGGCATTACCGTCTATACGAACGATCCGTAGTGGGTTCAAAAGGCGGTTTTTGGGCAGTCAGGCGGATTGAAGCGGATCTGGTGGTAACCCCCTCGAATGTCAATTTTCGAGGAAACTCGGGCTGTTCGAAGTTGGTCGATTAGTTCATCGGCTTGCGGGATGGGGTAACGGGACTTTATGATAACTCGGTTCAGTGCACGGTAATCTATGCACATGCAAAAACCCCCATCTTTTTTCTGTCTGAACAGTATCAGTACGGCGAAGGGCGACGAACTCGGGCGAATTATTTTTTTCTCGAGCAGGTAATCCAGCTGCTTTCGTAGTTCGTCCAGTTTGGGTTGGGTCAGTCCGAACTGTCGTTGTACAGCCGGCTATGCCCCCGGTTTTAGTTCTATCCTATGGGTGTGCTGTCGCTGAGGTGGCAGTCCCTCCGGTAGGTCATCCGGAAAAATGCTGCTGCACTGCTTCAGTAGTGCTGCCAAGTCATCTGGTACGTCAGTGAGCAGCTTCTGTAAATCACTCGGTTTGTCTGGTGCCTCGGCTTTCTAAATGTCAACCGCATACACGTCAACTCCTGCCGCTACGGCGTGTTTCATCGTGATCGCGTTGACACGCACCGACGAAGACTCAGGCGAGCTCCAGCAAGATAAGGCGATGTTGTCACCGTTCACTCGTCGTCCGTACGATTTGCAGATTGTGTCGTCGCAGCCCATCACGACCGGATAAAATGTCGGTCCCGTCGAGAGTCGTTGCGAGCATTTCTTGGGTAAAGGTGAAGTTGGCCCCCGCATAGGATTCAAACTCGGTCCACACGTTCCAAGTGCGGATCCTCTGACACCAAGAGCCTCTGATGCGCCGCGATCGAAGTCGCGATTGGCTCGAATCGTGCACGCAAACCTGCGCACCACGTGTCCCACGTGTCATATTAGGGCACCTCCACAAAATACGACGGCACCCAAGGTCCGGTTTGTCCTTCCCGTGTTGGTAGAGTCGCGTAGATCACCGGCTTCGTGACAATGACGCGCCACCAGTCCATGGCGGGTCCTCGCAGCAACAACATGGCGTATCAAATCTTCAATGAGTCCTCCGAGACGTAGTTTGTGTCGAAAAAGACGTTCATCGTGGATAACCACGCCCGAACGGTCGGACCACCCCGTTTGCTTGGATCGGAGCAAGGCGGACGCTGCGGCTTGAGCGGCATTGGTGACGACAGTGCTGATTCGCCCATCGGTAACGAAATCATGACGAGAGGTTGGCTTCTTGCCTCATTCGTCGCTTTGGGGTGTGTCGCGCCGTGGTCGTCGTCTCCGTCGTTGCGGGCAACGCCATCACTAGCCGCGCTCGAGGGTTGCCCCACACTTCCGTGTTGTGATGCGTATTGTGCGAGTTGTCCCGGTGTGTCTGGTGCTTGCGATTGTGCTTGTTGTGCTCGTGCGACGTCGTTTTGCATGGATGTACGTTTTGCTGTTAGTGCCACAGTTTCTTCGGAGCTTTCGTGCAGCTGCTGCAGCATTTCGTTCAAACACTCCAGCGTGAGTATCGTAACGTCGATATGTTTAGCCATTATGAAGGGTGTCGGCTCAGTTTAGTCTAGGCGCAGTCGTGGCTGCACGCGTTTACGAGAGAAGACGAGGACAGCGGCTCCTAGGGGCTAAGGGACATGAGTCCCATCGAGGGAAAATAATGAAAAGATTTTTTTTCTTGGTTCGAAGATGCGTGGTCCAAAAGAAAGTGGCTCTGATACCAAGTGTTACGGGTGCAATGGAACAAGATAGCAAGGATTGCAGTAGGTGTCAAATGCGTACAAAGTATGAGCAAAGGCATGACCAAATACTTATACACGAAACATACAAACGGTAGCGCTGTGCATGCGAGCTAGCTAGTGCTAGGCTGGCATCGAGGTTCGGGCTAGTCGCGAAGCGTAGGCCGACTCGGCCAGGCCAGAGGTGCATGGTTTGGTAAAACAGTGCGCCGAAGTCGGCGAAAACCCATTAGCAGTACCGGGCAAACAAACGGCAGCTGTTGTACGTGATGTTGAGCGCAGTAAGGAATGCTGTAAAAATCCTTACACTTGCCTTCCAGTTACAATGCGTGGTGGCAAAGGTGTACCGTAATATGTATGGGTATAACTGATCTCAAGCATTTCCCTATGTTCTGCATACGATTTATGACGCTGCTTCGCGTTTCAGAAAACTCTGCTCAAGCGGTAATTTCAGAGGCAGCTCGCAGTGGTTAGCACAACTGACGCAGAATTGACTTTCTATATTCAATGCATTGATACCAAAACTCACACAAACAAGCACATATAATTTCACTTTATACCAAAAGGTAAGACTCTTCTGAACATGGCTTTCAATGTGGTCGGCATCTCAGAACCCAAGAGTATTAGCAACCCAAGAGCAGTTCCACTCAGGTCATGGCAAAGGCAGCGAGGAGCAGCAGTGGTAGTAGCTCTCCCCATCGAATCTGACCCTCTACGATAGATGTACCTGACGAGAAGTGAGAATGGATGAATGGACTATGAAATAGTTGGGTACAAGTACTAACCCTAATTGGGTTGTACCCCTTATGGGCTACCCCACTACAACCTACACAAATGTATAAGCTATGATGTTCTGACACACCCCCATAGGCAAAGAGGGGGAGAACAAGCGGTCACAACACCAGTCAGGCAAAGCAAAGCAAGCTCAGGGTGGATCACCACACAGTCCAAGCACAAGAGTAAGGCCACAAGGCAAGTTCACATGCAAGATCATATATATAAAGGTAAATAAGCAAGTGCAGGTATAGAAAGAGGAC